TTTGCCTGTAGTTAGTTATCTGCTGAGCTTCTGCGAGCGTGATTAGACTGCCTCCCTGGGGGTGAGGGGTGGTTCGTGTGTATGTGTGTGTGTGTACGTGTGTGTGCACGTGTGTGTGTGTGTGTGTGTGTGTGTGTGTGTGTGTGTGTTCATGTTGCCCTCTTATTCTTTTACTCAGGGCAGGAATTAAGCATTCATGGTGACATGTAATCATAACCCTTTTTATACCTTTTTTGGGGCTTCACTTGACAAGCTTCTCCCTCCTCTCTGGAAACAAAGCAAACAAGCATGATTTCTAAAACAAGGATCTGTAGACAGCACAATTTCCTAACTAAAACTTTCAAGAAAGGGCTTGTCTGCATTGCAGGATTCCTTTTCCTTGCTCTAGCTGGAACGGTTCTTTTTGGAAGAAGCCATAGGTTTTGTCTTACCCCGTAAGGAACAATAGTCGCTGCCTGTTAATGTCTCCTTCCCAGAGAAAGAAGGAAGTCATACCATGCCCGTGTCAGGGTGTCCCAGGCCCCAAGGGGGGAGTTTTCTCAGAACTCTCGAGAATCACTGGTCTTGGAGAGTTTGGTGAACAGGGGTGAGGAGGTCAGACACTTTGCTTATCTTCTGCCATCACAAGGCAAGTGTCCTCTAGATTTGGGAGGTAGATGCACCAGAGTCAGTAAATGGTTTCTAGAAACAGCGATTTGAGGTCCAGCGAAGTACATGGCCAGCAGAACCATGTTTGGCTCACTTCTAGGTGGTAACTTGTGGTTATTTCTGGAAGAGCTGCTGTCTTCTCTGCTATCTTCTCTGCTATCAATATTTAAGACCAAGGACAACAGATATGCAAGTGGCCATGTCTTGGAGGGTTAACAAGCTGCAGATATAATATAAAACATGACCTATGCAACATCAAACTTCATTGCCTTATAACACACCATATATACTTGTTTAACCTGGAGATGGCAATGGAAAAGGGTTGAAGTGTGTTCTGTGGGTAGACGTGGAAATGAAAGTGGACACCTGTCAGATCACCTGAGCCTGTATTCTATTTTTGTGGCTCTGATGATTCTTTTGCCCTGTCCTGACATCCTTTCCTTTGTTAAACCTCTTCTCCAGGGTGGCCATGACAAAACGCTCTCAGTGTGATTTGCTGCCCCTTTCAGTGGGAGGTCTGTAAAGGGGCTTGGGATTCGCTCAGCTCATCGTATTCACTTGGTTTAAGCTGCCCACAGGCTCTCAGGAATGCAGATCCTAATTATCGCCCTGAGGCCCTTGAGGCCAGTTTCGCATCTCCTTAAATCAGCTTGTATGTGATAGATGTGAATTATGGTTTATGCAGAGCCTTGTGGGGAACGAATGAATTAGGACCTCACATAGGTCAAGAGCTGTTTCCCGAGCTCCATGTGCTCTGGGTTATCAGCGTCTGAACAGATGGGCCCCCTCTCCCCAGGTCACTGCGGAACCTGCTGGACGGGGAGATGGAGCACTCGGCTGCCCTCCGGCAAGAGGTCGACGCCTTGAAAAGGAAGGTGGCCGAGCAGGAGGAGAGGCACGTCATGAAGATCCAGGCACTGGCAAGGTAGGGAGGGCAGCGGGTCGGCGAGGTGGGCGCGGGATGCCGTGGGACCCAGGCTCACCGTCCACCAGCACTTAACCAAAAAAAAAAAAAAAAAAAGAGAGACGGTGACCAATGGAAATAAAATGTATGCATTTGAAATTTTAATTTACTTGTTGAGTAAATGGTGACTAATACGTATGCACGTGGTTCAGAATACAAAAGGTAAAGTGGTTAAAGCCTGGCCGCCCCAGCCACCCTGCGTGCCCCAGAAGTGGGCCCTGTCACTGATCCCAGACGCCCTGCCTGCGAACACAGGCAGATACGTGTGCACATACACGTTCTCATTTCCTTTCTGCTGTCCTTCCTTATGCACAGTGGGGGCGTATCCTCCCCGCCACAGGCTTTATGCCGTAGAGATTGTTCTGTATCGGTGTACACGGGGCTGCCTGCAGCTCGAATGGCTCGTGATGTCTCACCGTCTCACTGCACCAGATTTCATCTGGCCATGCGCCAACAGCCAGGCTCCGAGGCGGCGTCTAGGCTTTTGCTACTTCCAATAATGCCACCGTGAATAACCGCTGCATTTATCATGTTCCGATATGACTGTATTTGTTGGAAAAATTCCTGGAAGGAGAATTACAGGGGCAAAAATGCCGTGCGTTTTCTCAGTTGGATAGAGGTCACCAACTTGCCCTCCATGGAGGTGGAGCCAATGTACTTTCCACAGTGGCCGGGGCGTCCCTGGTGGACAGCTGTGCCCACAGGGGTCTCTCCAGCCTGGCTGGCAGAGTATTTTTCAATTGCATTTACCTAATTAAGAGCATGGTGGAGCCTATTTTTATTTAAGCACCATTTTATTTCTTTTTTTCTTTGTTTATATCTTATTAAAGAAAACCATAAAGTGAACTCCCCCAAAATCCCAACTCCCATAAAAACATGCATTTCTCCTGAATTTGTTCACATGTGAACATATTTTTATGTACTATCCTTGATATCTACGGCCTGTCATTTCTTACTCTGCCTCCCTCCTCTGCTGAAGCTTCACATTAACCATGTCTCTATGCCTGGCTGTGGCATTCCATTGAGTTCATGTACCTTGTTAAAATAACCATTTCCAGCAGCTGGGCATTTGAGCTGTGCCAGGTTTTTTTTCCATTTTAGGTAAGCTTATTGGTTGTTCTTTAAAACTATTTTAAAATAAGACCAGGAGATACTTGTGTCTTATGGATGTGCCAGGGACTCCAGAGTTAAGTAATTTCACAGCAGCAGCATTTATCATTCCCGTGCTGTCATGATGTGAGTGTCACTAATGTGATTGTCATGTATATGAAATTGAAACTTGGCACTGTGATCTCGTATTTAACTTTAATTTGAACTTCTCCCTTTACGTTTGAAAATGACATCTCAAGAGCATCAGAGGCAGTTAAATGACAATGATAAATAGAGTAATCAGGGCCTAGTTTTGCATTTGAGCAACGGGACCACCATTTTACCTGGGTTCTGGGGTGTCGTGGTGTTTGCTCAGCATAAAGGCTGAAATAAGGAAGAAGTTCTGGTTCTGAATCATCAAAGAAAGACAGACTAACATTCCCTGCCTTTTTTGGGTTGTGTTAAGAGTCAGCTAAGCTTTGAACCCCTGCTCCGTTTCTTGAGATTGTGTGTTTCTGGGTGAGTCGCTTAACTTCTGCAAGTGTGCATTTCCTCGCTTATAAAACGGAGAGGCTCACCTTATCCACGTGAAGGACCGCATGAGGAGGAGCGTGTGTGAAAGAACGTAAGGTACTAGATAGTCTAAGTGTATTTTACAGTCAGTGTCTTTTAGTATGTGATAATTCTGGGGAAAATTTTAGCCTATGAATGGACTAGAAAAAAAAATATCTTAACCGAGCAATTTTATAATCTGGCCTTCTCATTTAAACAATGGGGAGCTGAGAGCGTCAGGCATCTGAAAGGTGGCAGTTTGCATGTAGAAGGAGCATCTGTCAGTCATCAGCTGGTGGACCTGTGTGGTCAGCTGTTGCTTCGGAGCTGTTGGGCCCGGTCATGGCAGTGAGGCTGGAGGCCAGGCCCGTGTGTGTACACTGGGGCCACCCTGTTCTCAGGCCCACGTGTGTTCAGATGGCAGGTATCCTAATGCAGGTGGTTTAGCCTAGTGGTTGGTGGCGCGAATTCTGGCATTGGACCATGGTTCTACTGCTTACTAGTTGCATGACCTTGAGCAAATTAATTTCTCTGTCTCTGTTTCCTTAATTATAAAATGAGGATAAGAACATTCTCTACTTCATTGGGTGGTTGTGTGATAAAATGAGAGACCATATGTCAGCTCAATAAATGTGCTTCATAAATGCTCAATAAATGTTAACTATCATGATCATTTTTCTTTATTATAATAGTCACATTACTAAGAAACGTTGCCTAATCAAAAGTTATATTTTAACTGCAGTGGTGCAGAAAGAATTAAGCACTAGGCTATTTCAGACCCAACAGAGTGAAATTATTTTTGCTATAAGTATTCTGAGGGTGTGTTTGTATGAGTGTTTTACTGGCTCTGAGTATATGAGTAGATGTTAGTTGCAAAACTGAAACATCCCTGAACAAATTCAGCGTTTTATTACACATTTCCTTTTGCTCAAAATCAATGGCTTTCCTTTCGTGCTAACATGGCTCAGCCAAGAACAAGGTCATATAGCCTAGTGCTTGTGTGGCCCCCAGCAGCAGCTCCCTCCTGAGGCAGAGGCATTTTGATCAGTAGCAGTTCAGGGTGGGTGAGTCTAATTCCCTAAATAATTAATTGACTGCCTTATTTCCCAATGAGTTAAGAAAAGTCAAGCTATGACACAGGTGTTCACGGGAAGAAGACACACACTGACACGAGAAGTACCTTTGAGAGAAGCAGGTGAATGGGGTTGTTGGGTTATTGGGGAGACGCTGTCTGTTTCTGCTCATTGTATTAGCTATCTCTTGCTGTGTAACAAATTATCTCCAAACTTGGCAGCTTCAAACAACATACAGGTATGATCCTCTACAATGTCCGCGAGTTGGAATCTGGTAGTGGCCAGAGCCGCCGTCACCTGAAGGCTTGGTGGGGCTGCATGGGCCCCTTTCAAGCTCACTCATGTGGCTGTTGGCAGGAGGCTTCAGCTCCTGGCCACGTGGGGCCTCTCCAAAGGGCCTCTCACAGCACAGCAGCTGGCTTCCCAGAGAGTAACCAGAGCAAGAGAACACACCCAACATGGAGTCCACAGTGTCTTCTATAGCCTAATCTTGGAAGTGAGACATGAGCGTTTCCGCTCTATTCTGTTGTCACCCAGATCAACCCTAATTCAGTGTGGGAGGGGTCTGCACATGGGTGTGACTGTCAGGAGGCGGGGATCACTGGGGGCCATCTTGGAGGCTGCCTACCGGGTCTACCAGATTCTGTTTCCTCCTGGCGCAAACACTACTCCAGCCTTACAGGTGGGCTCTTCCTCCTTCCCATTCTGTCCATGTGGCTTGATGCGATGACCCTGCCATCGCCCACCCTGGCCTCCAGGGCAGAGCAGACCATCCGGGCTTGGACAGCCAGCTTCCTCCATCCCTCAGCCACCATGATTGGGTCACAGAAGGGCGTGTGGCCAAGCTGATCTGAAGAGCTGGTGATAGCATCCCGGGGAGGAGATGATGTAAGCCAGGAGCTGTTGGCAGTTGTCCGTGTGGGAAGATCCTGACCCCACATGACAGTGACACAGTGAGAAGTGGAAGCAAAGACAAACCCACGGGGCCTAATGATATCAGTGAGCTCCTGGGTCCAGTCTTTCCTGAAGCTAATTTTCCTCAGGACTTTTCAGTTATTTGAGCCGATAAATTCCTTTAGCCGGTTTGTGGCTGGTCTCCTCTCAGTTACAGTTCTGAGTCCTGACTAACCAGGCCTCCTGGCTTGGCTATTAGGGGACTAGCATGAGCTGTGTTGTCTCTGTGCTCCCTCAGCCATCAGCCTGCTGGGTCCCTGTTGTGACTCACCAAGGCTGTGAAAATGGCGTCTTGAGGAGAACCTGTTGGGTGGCTTCACAGAGCACTGTGCAAGGCCTTGTCTTCCTGTTGTTCATGTCGGGACCAGCCCCACTCTATAACTCTTTCGTGGCAACTTTTCTCTCTTGCTGAGGGGCTCTGGTGCCCTAACCAACGTGTCGTAGTTGTGTGACCACAGCCATTCCCTTTATCTTTCTGAGTGTCTGGTTCTTGGTCTGTTGAAAAAGTTAAAAGGAGGTGGGTGGCGTGGGGCCCCCTGCATACCTCATGTGAGGGGCCCTTAGTGGGATGCTGTGCAGCTGTGTCTGGTCCTTATCTAGGGGAGCAGCATGGTGAGTCTGCCTCTTAGCAACTCCTCAAATCTCAGTTTCCTGGTCCATAAACTTGGGCGTAATAATCTTAACTAGTATCAATATGCTTTGGGCAGTAGAAACGCAAACCAAATGAGCTGGGGTCAACAGGGGAATTTTATGTCGCTGTGACTCACTTTCTTGCAACGTGGTCCCGTGAGGCCAGCGCTCTCTCCCCTGCTCCTGGCTCTGTGACCTCTCTGTGTCAGTGTCCTTCTCAGGCGAGGCCTCTGGTAGCACCGGGCCTTGTGCAGGATCCAAGGGAAGAGACCCCCCCTCCTGATGTCCGTATGTAGCATGTTAGGAAGGCTCTTCACTGGACATGTCGTGGCCAGGAGCAAGCAGAAGGTTGTGACTGACAGCCTCACCAGGTCCCCAGGGCGGGCTCTGGGCAGACAAGTCATGTCTATTACACTTCCTCATAGGATCCTAGGGAAGGTTACATGAGCTGATGCCCTTGAAGCAGCCGGCGCAGCCCCAGACCCATTGTAAACATTCAGTGCGTGTTCCCTGCTTTCCTGTTCTTAGCTGGTGCCTGGCCCATGGGTGGCTAGGGATGCCGAGGGTAGGCCTGAGCTTGCGGGTCCTTCCCTTGCCCCGGCTTCCCCCAGCAATGAGCATCTTGAAATCTTTCACCACTGACCTTCATTTGACCTCAGCTCC